CCCCATCCCCATCCCCATCCCCATCCCCATCCCCATCCCCATCCCCACTGAACCACTGTTTGCATTCCCCGTCCCAAAACAGCACTCCAGGCACAGCCTTATTTTTCATCACTCTCATTCTTGCTGAGCCTGCTTACAGTGGGAGCACTTTCCCATATCCTGAAGCCATCCCCTAATTGCTCTCTCCTTGGCACACCCTTCCTCCCCTGAACATGGGCCCTGCGGCTTTTCCTCGTGTAGTGTTGCAAAAGTGCAGGTGGGTGCCCTGGAGGTGCGTGGAGACGAGTGTATTTACACCTGGGTTTACACATGGCAACATTTGCACACACGTGCATTTGCACAATGGTGGATCTGCCCACACCCGTTTGTTGTAAGGCCTTTCCCCCCCTGGTTCCCGGAGGAGCAGCAGTGGGGTGGGGGGCATCTGGGCTGCAGCTGCCGCACATCTGGCGCTGCTCCCTGGCCGCGGTGCAGCTCTGTCTGCAGCAGCGTTGGCTGCTCCTCATCAAAACGCTTCCTGAGGCGCTCCCCTCCTCGTCAGAAGGCCTCACCCCTCAGTGCTGCTTTGCTGACAGTTTTCAGGATGGAAAACATGACTCGTGCCAAAGACGGAGCCTTTTCCACCCGGTTTGAAACCCCTGTGCGAAAGGAAATGTTGATGCAAAAAGTGTTGGTTGGGTTTTGCCACTTCTTCCCAGCACCCATTGGCTGTGGTGTTGGCACTGGGGACAGGGACAGGGACACAGCCAAGGAACCAGCCTGGTTGGGTGAGACCTTGGAATCACGGAGTCATAGAACCATGGAGGTTTGCCCATCCCTGTTGTGGTTTCCCATCTCCATTGGTGTTTCCAGCCTTCCCCATCCTCACCGAGGTTCCCCATCCCTTTGGGGATTCCTGCCTTTCCCTATCCCCGTTGGTGTTCCCCATCCCTGCTGGGATTCCTGTTTTGCCCTGTCCCCACTGGGTTTCCCAGCACTCCCCTTCCCCATTGGGATTCCTGTAATTCCTCATCCCATTGGGGCAACCAGTCTCATTGGGATTTCTGCCTTTCCCCACTGGGGTTACCAGCATTCCCTATCCCCACTGGGGTTCCCCATCCCATTGGGGTCTGTACCACTGTGCTCCTTGGGCAGCCACGGGCACTCCCAGCCCAGTGGCTCCCTTTAGGTTAATGGATGTAATTATCCTGGGCTTAAATCTCTGTGTGACAGGAGAGGTCAATGTGGGCTGTGGGAGGGCAGCAGGCTCCTGGCAAGACGTTTCCTATGGCCATAAATCTCCCACCCCACAGTACAGAGCAGCATCAGGGTCGGGATGGGCAGCTCCATCCTCACTCCATGCCCATCCCTATCCCCATCCCTATCCCCATCCCATCCTCATCCTCATCCTCATCTTCATCCTCATGATCATCCTATCCCCATCCCCATCTATCCTGTCCCATCCCATCCCCATCCTTGTCCCCACCCCATCCCCACCCCTGTCCCAACCCTACCCCTTCCCCATCCCCATCCCATCCCCATCCCATCCCACTGACAGGTGCCAATTTGCAGGCAGCTCTCTGGGAGTTTGGGGATGGATTAATGCATCTTGCCGAGCGGGTGGGAGCCAAATTAAGCTGGTGACACATGGTCAGACGCTGACTCAGCCTTCGTCACGCTCTGGTGCAGCTGCAGCGTGTGGGGCTGTGGGCACCGGGCGTCCCCCGTGGGGTTTGTCAGCCCCAAAGCCTCCACAGCTCCCTGAGTGCTGAGCATCTCTGCAGCGTAGGGGAGGGGGGTGAAGGGGGGGGGGCACAGCTGTAGACCCTCAGAGTCCCGGTGGGGGTGGGTACCGTGCCATGCCCCTGTGCTGTGCAACTTCCTTGTGCCGTGTCACATCCCAGTGCTGTGCCGCATCCCGGTGCCACGCCACATCCCATTAACATGCCCTATCCCAGTGCCACGCCACGTCCCCACGGTGGAGGCTGAGGACATGGACCCCCACATCCCGTGCTGCCCCCGTGCCCATGGCTCCCGTGTGGTGTTTGTGCTGTGATCGCCCCGATAACCCCACGGGCGCTCCCCATTCCTTCCCCATCAATCATTAATGCCGGGCGGGTGCGGGGCAGAGGAGGAGGAGGAGGAGGAGGGCTGGAGGAAGGCTGCGGCTCCCAGCTTGTGGCAGAGGAATTAATTTTACGGTGATGGATGAGAGTGGGAGCGGATAATGCAGCCCCGGGTGGTCATTAAATGCTGCAAATGAGCACAAATCCCATCCCTGGCGCCCCAGGGTCAGAGCGCTTACACCGAGATCACCCAACCGTGCAACGAGGGGAGGCCAGGACCCCCCCATGCTCTGCTCCTGAGTCTCCATGGGGTGCATGGGGTCTTCATGGGGCACATGGGAGTCTCTCGGTCTCCATGGAATGCATGGGATCTTCATAGGGTACGTGGGGTCTTCATGGGGCACATGGGGGTCCCTGAGTCTCCACGGGGTGCATGGAATCTTCATGTATTTCATGGGGTTTCTATGGTGTGTACAGGCGTCCCTGGTTCTCCATGGAATGCATTGGGTTTCCATGGAACACATGGTGGTCCCTGGATCTCTATGGGGTACACGAGGCCTTCACGGGGCACACGGGCTCCCTGTATCCCCAGTGGATACCAGGACCCCTCGGTCTCTATGGGGTTCACGGGGTCTCCATGGGACACATGGGGTGGGAGCGCAGCCTGGAGCGGTGTGAAGCCCCCAAGCTGTGGCCCACCCTGGCCCCATCCAGATGTGCGGTGCGGCGGGCCAACATCTGGCAGGGCTGTGGCCCTGAACACAGGCAGCTCTGTCTGCTCCCAGCGACCCGCGCCCATGACCAACGCGGATAATCCCCAGCCCTGCCATTCCGTATGAATACGCAGCGAAGCGTTTGCAGCTGCTTCCGTGCTAGGCAGTGATTTCCTACTACAACCCTTTTCTAAAATTTATTTTGCTTTTCCAGGAATATTCCTGCTTCTTTTTCACATGGCTGAGGGACGAAACACCCTGTAGGGATGAGATGAATTTATTCAGTATTTGGCAGATGACAGAACATGGCTTCCAGTTCACAGGTTCTTACCAATGGCACTCCCATCCTCCCCACCACGCGCTCTGGGCACCGGTGCCGACTGAGCCACCAAACCCCATGGTGTGCACAAGAAATGAACCCCAAATTTGAAAGGAAAGATGCACACGTGCTGGAACCATGATGGCACAGCTCGCAGCTTGGAGAAAGCGTGGTCTGCAGTGTTCTTCCTGCAGGGGTTAAGGCGGTGATCGTGAAGGCAAGCAGAAGGTTTGCAATGTTCCCAGTTAAGCACAAGCAAGCTGTAGGGTTTGCTTCCCAACATGGATGAGGGTTGGAAAAGCTGAGTCATTGCGTCCAGCTGTCACCCCAGCACCACCATGGCTGCCTACATAGCCACAGGATCATTGCGGTTGGGAAAGACCTCCACCATCACCGTGTCCAGCCGCCAACCCATCGCCACCGTGCCTGCTAACCACATCCCTAAACAGAATCACAGAATTACTCCGGTTGGAAAAGACCTCAAAGGTCACCAAATCCAACCCCAACCCGCCGCACCATGCACTGACCCCTATCCCCCAAAGTAAGAAGGGGAGGTCATGCAGTGAGCAACAATACAAAAAAAGGGTGCCCTGCGGATCCGTGCTTCATGAGCCGTGCACGCGCTGAGTCGGGTTCTCATCACTCCTCTCCCCTCCCTGACAGCTCGCTCACAATATTTACACTTGGCTCAGGCTGTGGCCACCACGTCTGTTTATTTCTGCTCTCCCAAAGGGCTGCAGGTACCCAACGAGCGCTCTCCGTGCCGCACTGGCTGCCGTTGGCTTCGGGCTTTATCGCTGCTTCCCATTCATCACCCCTGATAAATATTTATGGCTGCATTAGGGCACTCAGCTCCTTCCACTAAAAATAACATTCCAGAACACCGAGGGGAAAAAAAAAAACCCCGAAATGGTGTGATTGGAACTGATTGCAACGTTTCCTAAGCACCCAGACGGCGGTGAGCTCCCAGCCTCAGACTACACAACTCTGCTCTTTCTCTTAGTTTTAAACAAAACCCAGCTCTCCTCTCAAGAATGAACACAGAGATGCTGATGCCAACCCAAGCTACTCATCCCCGAATTCCCTGCCTGCAAGGGGACATTTGGTAACAGTTTAAAGAAGAGGCACTGGTCTGGGGTCCTCCCACTGCTTGTTCCTCCCTGACACGCCATCACTTACAGAGGACAGTGTAACATCAAACACAACAGCAACCCGACAGCGGAGCGGTGCTTCTAGGTGGGTCTGAACCGTCCACACTCACGAGTCCCCCCTGCTTTACACGCAAAGAGACCCCAATGGTGCAAACCTCATTTTTTGTCATGCACAGCAAAGGGCAGGAGCCAAGAGGAAACAGCCAGCATGAGATGCGATGGTGCCGCTGTTGGGTGGGAAATCCAACAGATCGGAATGCGTAGCGGGAGCGGGGAGTATTGCCTTTTTCTTGAACCTCCCGCAAATGGCAGAGTTCGATGGGGCACTGTCTGATTATCGTTAGTAAACACACTGAGGAAAACAGTACATGCAATGGCCTAAGAGGCAAATGCCCACGGGGAAACCCCTCGGTTGGCTGGGAGAATGCCGGCGCCGGTGGGAGGTCAGCGTCGATCACAGTCGCGCGATGGTGGTGGGTCGGCCGGAACGCGGCTCTCCCAGCGGCGCGGGGACGTCTTCGGTCACGAGCTCATCGAGAGCCCCCTGCGCCTGCACCATAGGAAACAGAGACTGAGCCCACAGCATTAAACCATGGAATCACAGAATCACGGAGTGGTTTGGGTTGGAGGGACCCGAAAGAAGAACACCCACAGAATGGGTTGGTTTGGAAGGGTCCCTAAAGACCATTCAGTTCCATTCTTCGCCCCTTCTGGAGGATAAAGAAGCCCTGAAAAAGTTTCTTGCCTTTATTGTCTCACTTTTCTCCATTTTCTGCTTCTCAGCATCACCCCTGGTGCTTCAGCCCCTGTTCCGTGGCAAGGGACAGCCTTGTCCCAGCTGCCCCCCATACAGCAAAGTGCAGAGCAGCCATTAGCGTCCAAGGGGCACAAAGGGACTGCCGTGCATAGACAGCACAAAGAGCTCCACACTGCCTACATCCCCTCTAATGGCATCATTTCACTCAAGATCTTCAGTTACCAGATTGTTTCCCAGCCGAGACAGGACTTGAATTTCTAATGTAAAAACTATCAGAGAAACTCTGAAGCTGCTTTCAGGTTATCTCTATCCATTACTAAAATGGCAGGGAGGCAGAAAGGGCAAAAGCTTTGTTTCTGTGCTTTGCAAATTACCTTCAGAGCGCAATGGTGCCAGTTTTATCATGCAGAATTGTGTTTTGCAGCAGTTGTGCCTAATTCTATTTGGCCAACATGGGCTGGATCCCAATGGACAATGTGAAGGTGGGATTCTTGTTCTGCTCTCTGGATTCTCATCAGTGTGCAAGCTTCCAGCACAATGGAAGAAGACCCAGGAATGGGATCCCCATCGACCTCTGCGAACCCACATTTGCGCCCACGCCGCGTGTTTTGGCTGCAGGAACCCTCCTCCTTCCCACTGCCAGCGCTCAGAGATCAGCACTGCGCATCAGGCAAATACTATGCAGAGTGGAAACCCAACCCGGTGCCCTCCTACGTTTTTCAGTGGGGAAGTGATAGGGATCTGCCCCAGGTGCCTCGGAGGCATTGTGAGCGCGAGGCTCAGCCTTTCTCCGCCGACACAGTCTCATGCTCCCCAGCACCTGTTTGTCTGTCCATCTGCTGTGCCTTATTATAACACACAGTGCCGGCTCTTTGAGGGTAGAGATTGTATTTTTAGTACATCTGGATAGCGTCCGTCGCAATAGACTCCGATTTCCTGGCGGAGGCCTCTCAGTGTAAAGGTAATGCTAATAAAAGAAAAGATAACGGCGGTAATTCTGCTTTCACTGAAGTTAATGATGCTTTCCCACTGTCTGTAGCAGGAGCTGAATTAGGTCATAACTAGGAAAACCCAGCATCCTTTGGAATAGGTGCAGAGTGGCGGGAGGGAAACTCTCCTCGTCTTGTACAGAAGCATAAAAGGAAGGAGAAAGCAGAAGGTTGGCAGAGAAATGTCCAGGCTCACCTGAATTGCTGTACAGCCTGTGGTCGTCCATCTAACCTGCAATACAGGAAGAAGATACATCCATCAAACAGGCAACTGTATTTCCTGTACAATGAATAATTGTTGAATCATAGAATTGAGAAGGTTGGAAAAGACATCCAACGTCATCCAGTCCAACCGTCCACCATCACCACCACCATGCCCACTAACCGTGTCCCTAAACAGAATCATAGAATCACTCAGGTTGGAAAAGATCTCTCAGATCCCAAGTCCAACCCCTACCCACCCCACCGTGCCCACTGCCCACGTCCCTCAGTGCCACATCCCCACGTTCCTTGAACACCTCCAGGGATGATGACCCCACCACCTCCTGGGCAGCTGTGCCACTGCATCACCACTCTTACTGAGAAGAAATTTTCCTAATACCCAACGCAGACCTCTTGTGGTGCTACTTGAAGCCATTGTCTCTTGTCCTAAACCCAACCTCTCCATCTCTCATTGCTCTACTGAGCAGCTCTTCATCTGCAAACAGCTCTGAAGGCACTGGGGTCAATCTCCAGCCCTCTGGAATACAGGAGAGGAGCCTCAGTTAAGCCCCTAAGCACGTTCCACACGGCAACCCAACAAATCCCAGAGAGGGACTCTCCACGGCCACCAGCACTTGGAGCCTGGAGGCGCCTCCACCACCTCCTGGGCTGCAGGAGGACTGCGCCTTCATTATCGATCATTCCTTGATTTCTTGGCCGGCTTTTCATCTCGCTATCTCTGCCACGTTAAAAAATCACTTAATTTCTGGCAGAGAGAATATTTACATTCCACACAATGGCTTTTGGGCCAAGTCCTGCTTTGGGTTATGTCTCCGTTCCCCAGTGCTGCAGTGAGTAATAGGATTTGTCCTACTATGCCTCCACCACACATCCCATCTCAAAACTCCCTTCCCCTTTTTTCCACATGCAAGATGCGATGCACGTTTGGGAAAAGAAGAAAAAAAAAAAGCAGAAGGGTCATCTGCTAAGCATCTCAGCTATTTAGCTTAAGAGGAATGTTCTAGGGCAGAGAGAGTCCTGTGATTTAGAGCCAACGCCATGCTGCTTTGAAAGCTGAGATCAGACTCGGTGCATTTCTTCACGCATGCTGACAATGCCGAACGCTGATGGACAAACCATCAGGAAGCTGAGCATTCCCAGGCACCTGAAAGCACTGGACTGGAAGATTCAGGAAAATGAGGAATTTTAGTGCGAAACGTGATCCCCTTTGCTTCTTCTCAGCCAGAAGGAAAATATGCATAGAACAACAGCAACAACAAAAAAAGGATAAAAAGTCCAACTTTGTCACTGCTGGAATAAGGCTTGGTTCAACGAGACAGAAAAACCTCTGGGGATGGTGGAGATGAAAGGGAGCCATGAGCAGCCCACATGGGATCATTGCCTGTGGGCGATGCTGAGCGCCCGTCCGGACAAGGTCGTATGAGGCGGTGCTGCGCCGCTACCCAGCCCACGTGTGGGGCTGCTGTTTTTGAATGTACTCATCCACAGCACAGCTCCTGCAGCACTTGGAGCAGTTCTTCCTCCTCCTCTTACACATTAAAAATATCTGTGTGGGGCTTTGTTAAAGAAAAATGTTCCCTAAAGCTGGATGCACGCTGCGGGAACAGCCGTGGTGGCACTCTGACACCGAAAGTCACAGAATCACACAGAATCACAGAATTGTAGGGGTTGGAAGGGACCTCCAGAGCTCATCGAGTCCAACCCCCTGCCAAAGCAGGTTCCCTACAGCAGGTCGCACAGGTCGGCATCCAGGCAGGTCTTGAACATCTCCAGAGAAGGAGACTCCACCACCTCCCTGGGCAGCCTGTTCCAGTGCTCCGTCACCTCACTGTAAAGAAGTTCTTGCGCACATTTGTGCAGAACTTCCTATGCTGCAGTTTCCAGCCGTTTCCCCTTGTCCTGTCTCCACTCACCACTGAAAACAGTCTGGCCTCGCCATTCTGCCCCCCACACCTTAGATATTTATAGACCTGGATCAGGTCCCCTCTCAGTCTTCTTTTCTCAAGTCCTCCTCGGGGAATCGGAATGGAGAAAGCAAGCCGACCCCTGGGGACGAGCAGATCTGAAAACGTGCGGCAGGAGGATCAGAACTAGAGAGTCTTCAAAGCTCCCTTCCAGCCCCAACCATCCTATGGCTCTATGATCTTTAAGGTCCCTTCCAACTCATTCTACGGCTCTGTGACCCTTCCAACCCAACCGTTCCATCATTCTGTGATTCACAGCTCAGAGACAGGATTTCTTCCCTTACCTTGATCCTTCCCGTTCTGCATTTTTTCCATTTCTTCTTCATCTTCTTCCTCTGCTTCAGGAAGAAGAAAAACATCACGCATGGATGAGACATGTACACGAGAGAACTGAGACATACGGAAACCACAAGTTTTAGGCTAAAATCAAATCTAACAAGTGGAAGTATTTCTATGGAACATGGAAATTGTTTATGGAAAAAGGAAATGGCTTTATGGAAGAAGGAAATGGTTTCATGTTGATCTGAGGTGGAAACCCTGAGGTCCCTTCCTGGAACTGCTGTTTGCCTGCTTGTGCTCTCAGGACCCTTGGGCCAGGCTGTGCCCAAGGCTGGATTTTTGCTCCATACCCATTGCACAGAGCCCTGTTTCAACTGAAGAGGATTTATGAAAAAGCTCATATTTATATTGCAGAGCATAGGAACAGAAGGCCACATTCTTCTGTAGATGGTGGCTTGCGTCTGTGTGCAGCATCTCCCTGAGCTCTAAGCAAACAGGTGACAGTTGTTACACGCAGTGCTATCACTCCTGCCCATTTCACATGCTGCTGAGTGCAAAGAGAGACAGAAAGCTCCACAATAAAGGGCAAAATTTGAAGACCTTCAGATCAAAGTGGATCATGACCTGCACACTGATATTTGCTTTACTTGCTAAACACTAGCAGGAGCATCAGCAGGAGCACCAGAACCTGTAAAGTCTCAAACCAGAGCCATACAGCATTCTATGGTTCTATTTAGGGACATGGGTTAGTGGGCTTGGTAGTGGATGCGCTGATGGTTGGACTTGATCACCTTGGAAGTCTTCTTCAAGCTCAGTGATTCTACGATTCCATTTAAGGACATGGTTTGGTGGTATGGTGGAGATAGATTGATGGCTGGGCTTGATGATCTTGGCTTTTCCAACCTTTGTGATTCTATGACTCTCTGATTCTATATCATCAAGCAAGGGCATGTAATTAATTTCCTTTTCGCTCCCTCATGCCACATCTGCTGCCAGCACTGCCATTGCTCAGCAGCTCGTGCCCTGCTCAGGAGATCTGACCTTCAGGAAAGCAGCATTTCCGAGTGGTGCCCAAGCCATGGGGAGCTCCTGCTATTGCACACATACAGATCAATAGCAGCAGGACACAGCATCTAGGTGTTAGTCTGCTGCTACAATCAGCAGCCAGGCTTCTATCTGCAGGATGTGACCTTAACCATTCTGTTGGTTAAGTGATAAAATCGATGCAAATCCTATTCGGATGGCATTTGGAGTTCTCAGCAAGGCTAGCCATAAAAAATGATTTTTCATTTTATTGTTGAAGAAATGAACGCGTAATCTCGCGTTACGCCTTAAATAGAGTTTTTATAAAAAATAAATCTAAAGACAAATCTCTCTCCTCTTACCTGAGTGCAGCTCCTTCACCAGCGATGACATCGTGTTGGTGATGGAGTCAGCGGCCACCAGCAGGTCGTTGCGCAGGTTCCTCCTTGTACCTGGGAGCAGAGCAAACACGCAGCAGGTAAAGCAGCTGCACACAGCCCTCCTGCCTCATGGATCCTGGCCCCATGGAGCTCAGCCCCGCAGAGCTCAGCTCCACAGACCACAGCTCCACCAGGGATCCCTGCTCAGGAGAGCAGTGGTGCTGCACCCAGCTGCATTGGAGGGCCCTGAGAAGAGATCTGGATTTGCTCTGGAATGCTCCCACTCTGCCTGGCTATTGTCTGCAAGCCTATCGTCTGACTGCTCATTAGCTCCTGCATTGCTTTTCTCCTCCATGAGGGCAGCACCCCTACGTCAGCTCAGGGTTTTTCTGCTCAAGATGCTTGAAGTTGAGTGCCTGTCTTCTTCCAGATATTTCCCATCTCATCAATCTCCCAAATGCTGCGATGGCTTCGACTCCTCTGAGCGATTCTGCCATTAGCTGCGGTGCTGTGGATTTGCCGCTAGGCTCTGTGCTGGCTACCAGCGTGGCCCATGAATACCAACATGGCCTGTGAATGTCTGCATGGCTCACAGATGTTAACATGGCCCATGGATGGATGTCAGCACAACCCATGGACTTCAACACGGCCCATGGATATCAACACACTTCATGGTTGGATGTCAACGCGACCCATGGATGGCTGTCAACACCACCCGTGGATATTAACATAAGCCATGGATGTCAGCATGGTCAGCACGTATCTTGGAGGCCATGAACATTCCATCAACACATCCCTGTCCTCTGGCTTGGGCACCAAGTGACCAGCACTGTGCCCATGGCGTGATGCTCTGGCAGCTACACAAACAAACAAACACTGACTTTAACGAGCTCATCTGGACGCCCACTGCCACTGGAGGCCCTTCTGGCTGGTGGCATTAAATTATTTTATTATGTGAACACACAGAAATTTTATCCTGCTTCCTGCGTTCTCCACTTGCTTAGAATTTGTCTGATTTTACATGATTGATATGAAATAGCACTAATTGTGCAGATTGCCTTCCCGGAAAGAGCATTCCCGGAAACTTATTACGGAGCCTGCTGACCATGTTCTCTTGCAAAAGGTTTACCAGCTGTTGGGCTTTATTCTAATGCTGTTTTCTCCCAGTGGCAAAGTGGAAGACCAAGAGGGCTCCGCTGAAGGAAATGTATCCCATTAGGGACCATAAGATTTGGTTCTGCAAACATTTCCTGCTGATTTCCCCTCTGCCATGGGGTGGGAGTGATGATGTTGGCAGTCCTGGGTATGGCAATGAAAAAGTGAGCAGGAATGAGACCTTCACCCACTTTTTCTCTTTTCTCTCATTTTAGAAGATATGGAAGAGTTCACAGAGATAATTTAAATGCTTTGGTAAAAAAAAATATTAAAAAAGTAAAACAAATGGAACCTTTCAGGAGGTTTTGTTCTGAAAGCGTTGCCTATGGATAATTTGCTCCTGTGAGCCACAACCACCACCACCATACTATTGGGATGTAGGTGCTACCCAAGCCCTTAGCACTACAACAGCCCTATACAATACCTGCCATGCATTGCATAGAGATACTAAGGTGTTAAAAACCTGGAAAAAAAGAATTTTTTTCTCTTTGGGCAATATTGACAGGACCTAGTGAAGACTGTGCTCCTCTAAAGCAGGAATGAGCCACGGTTCATTCCATGAGCTTGTCCCAGAGCCAGGAGTTGAAGCCTGCACACTGTGCAGAAGGAACATCGCTTCTTCTGTGTCTCCAAATGCAGATGGATAGAAAGCACATTTTGATGCCAAAGCACTACTGTAAAATAAAAAGAATCAAGTAGGGCAGTTACTGTACTACAACAATCTTGTGTTCATTACTCGTAGCTGCAGAAAGGAGATCATTTTGCCTCTTTGTGCTTTCCTCATTAAAAAACCAAAGGGGAAAATGATGAACCAGATACAGCAGATTTTCCCAGTGCCTGGTGGGACTCACAGCACCGCTGCGTGCAGCCTGGAGAATAGAAAGCTGATCTGCAGGGAAAGGACGGGCAGCTGTTGAAGGAGTGGGATGAGGCTCTTGACTCGTTGGGGGGATGAAGAGGAGGCGCCAGGGCCACCCACAGCAGCAGATGGAGCCGTGCCGCTGGTGTTTGGCACCGCGCCTCCTGGAACGAGGCTTCGTCTCTGGAAGCGCTTAGAGAGATCAGAGAATCATAGAATGGTTGGGTTGGAAGGGACCTTAAAGATCAGAGAACCATAGAATGGTTGGCTTGGAAGGGCTCTTTCAGCCCATCCAGTTCCCACTCCCTGCAGTGGGCTGGTTGCCACCGAGCACATCAGGCTGCCCAGGGCCTTGGCAGCTCCAGGGATGGGGCACCCACAGCTTCTCCAAGCTCGTTTCTGCTGGTGGGGTCAGAAAAAGGCATTTCCTTCTCCAAGATGAGTAGTGATGGGTTGATGGTTGGACTTGATGATTTTAGTGGTCTTTTCCAGTCTTAATGACTTTGTGATTCTATGAGCTCTAGATACTTTGCACTTCCATACTGGACTTCTTCCACCATATGACCTACTCACCAGCTGAAATTTTGGAGAACAACCAACAGAGCCTTTTCCTTTCACCAGGCACTGAGGGCTGAAGGCTTGCAGTCCTCACTTCAGCGTGCCGGGGATTCAACATCCATTAAGGTTGGAAAAGATCACTAAGATCACTAAGACCACCACGAACAGGAGAACATCTGTCTGACAGAATATCTGACATTAATATTCACCACCTCCCCTACTCAGCAAGAAATACGCTCATGAATGAGAAAATTCCACCTCCAGATAACGAAAGCATGAGATACAAGTTGTCATCTTTTATGGAACTGAATAGCTTGGCCTCTGGGAGACGCAGAGGGAGCTTGGAGAAGGCAGGACTGAAGAACTAACTCCCTCATTCACTGCAGTGTGATGGCTCCCTAAAGGTAGAAAACCTCTTCTTTGCCACTCTTCTTGGCATCAGACCCAAGTAATGCTTTTACTTGCCTTTTCCCAACATCCTGAGGGTGGAACCTCCATTTTTCTCCCTCTCTCCCCTGCGAGGAAGAGGCAGAGGTCTGGACTGAGTGCACAAGGTTTCTGTTTCATCTGGTTGTCTTCAAATCCTGAAGCACTTCTTGAGCCCCCAGTGACGTTTGCAATGCATGACTGCAGAAGTTTATTTTTTTTTTTAAACTAATAGCTGCTATGTATGAACTCACACTACCTACAGAAGCTGGGGAGTATAAATATCTATGTCAACTGCTGCCCTGGTGCTCCTCAAAGCACTCTAAGCTGAATTATTCAGAAAAGGACAGCTAACCCACTTGATCCAACCATTTTGGTTTTACCAAAGGATGGGGGGATGAGGTGTACATAGGGAAATGCAGTTGAAACTACCCAATAACCTCCTACTTCTTGTTGAATCACAGAATTATTTGAGATGGAAGGGACTTTGAGTTGGAAGATCACCCAGCCCAAATCCCCTGCAGTGAGCAGGGACATCTGCAGCTCAGTCATAGAATTATAAAATCACAGAATCCAATCATAGCATCACAGAATCGTTTGAGTTGGAAGGAACCTCTAAAAGTCATCTCATGAACAGGGACCCCTACAGCTCCACGAGGTTGCCCAGATCAGGTTGTGCCCATACAGATTGGCACCACTGAGCTTAGGCCAAAAACTGGTATTTTTTTTCAAACACAAGTGGTGTAACATCTAGAGAAGGTGCGAAGGAAGTAACAAGGAGCTGTGATCCTAGGCAAGAACAGCCCCATAACCAGAGAGTCAGCTAGGTTGGAAAGGACCTTCAAGTCCAGTATCATTTATACAAAGTATGTGTTCTGCTACTTTGCTATGATCCTCCCTTCTTTCCTTCCCTGTTGGCATTAGTCTGATAGTGACAGGACAAGGAGGGATGGCTTCAAACTGGAGGAGGAAAGACTGAAGCCAGGTGGTAGGGGGAAATTCTTTACCTAGAAGGCAGTGAGGCCCTGGCACAGAGGATCTGTGGATGCCCCATCCCTGCCAGTGCCCAAGGCCAGGCTGGATGGGGCTTTGGGCACCTGGTCAATGGATGTGTCCTCATGGCAATGGCTGGGTTGGGTGGATTTTGAAGTGCCTTCCAACCCAAACCACTCCATTCTAGGACTCTACAATTATCGGATAACATTCTAGGATGGGAGAACCCTTTAAAATGGAAAGAATAACAACATGCCGCAGTTCCTTTGGTCTGGAGCATAGCAAAGGGAGCCGGGCTGCCCCGTTCCCTGCTCCACGAGATGCTCACCTTGTGTGAAAGCTTCTTGCATGTCCCCGATGTCCTGGGGGCCGTGTGTTGGTGTGGAGCCAGCAGAGGTGGATCTGACGGGCATGGGCAGCGGGCGGCCGGCTCCGTGGGTGGGGGACGAGTGCGCCGAGCCCGCTGCTTGCGCCTGCACGGAGACACAGCGTGCACATCTTACACTTGTTTTGGGTCAGCGTCTACAAATAATGTCGTAAAGCATTGCAACCATGCTCTGCAACCTGCTCTGCACAGAGCTAACCGCTGCTGGACGTGAGGTTAGGAAACCAAAAGCTTAGCTTTGCAGCATCCAGGAAGCAAACAGCAAATGCACGATGAGGGGCTGAGCAAACCCACAAGTGCCATGCAGGAGATTTATTAATACTTGTTGCTAAAAAAAGGCATTTAGGAAAAAAAAAAAGACAACTTTTTCTGGTTGCTCTTTAACTATCCAGAGCTGCCCTCATCACCCCAGTGCTCTGCTATCCTACAACCCAGGCATTCTCTGCAGCAATTTCTATCTCAGCACACTCTACACCTTCTTGCTCAGTTCACGACCAGCTCTGCCATGCTTTGCTAGCCATGATTGACGACCTTAACCTGTATTTATATTCAAGCTGTGCTACCACGGATGAGGGGAAAACTACCCATAAAAAAAAAATCACATGAAAGCTGCACAACCCCTGACCAAACTCATTCTGTTTGTGCCATTCTGTTTGCTTCCCTTCCTCCGACCCGCGCATCCCTTGCTCCCTTTGACGTGCACCAGTTACCAGGGCAACCCTGCAACACCGCTGCACTGTGCCCAGCGCTCCGGGCACAAAAACCCAGCAGTGTGCAAAACTGTTGGTTTGAAACTGCACTGATAACACATGGAGTGAAAGAAGCGAGCGAAATATTCTCATGGTGCTGGCAGGGGAGATGGCTGCTGCAGGAGAGCAATGGTCTTGCAAAGATAAAATGGTTTGCAAATGAAACAAATACACAGGAAACATCATCAGCTCCATCGGGCAGATAAAGCCGTGCCTCTGCCCAAGCTGCCCACCAACTGCAGGGCCAGCTCCATGCATCTCCACATCTGGCCCGTGGCACTCCCCAGATGTGCGCTCACTGGGACTGCAATCATAGAATGATAGAATTGTTGGGTTGGAAGGGACTTTAAAGATCATAGAACCATAGAATGGTCGGGTTGGAAAGGGCCTCACATCCCCCCAGCCCCACTCCCAGCCATGGGCTGCTTGCTCCCCACTAGCTCAGAGCCTTGAGCAACGCCATGGAGGGGGCACCCATTGTTCACTGGGCTGCAACACCTGGGCATCACCTCGGAGCAAAGAATTTCCTCCTTACATCTAACCGAAATCTCCCCTGAAGGACCCCCCAAGCTCCATGCTCCAGCCCCAGTCCAGCCTCCAGCCCTGGTGACACCTGTATTCTACTGACACGTGCCTTTGAGACACGTCAACCAAATCCGCGTTCTTAGAATAAGCGCCCAAGGAACTGAAATTGTTTTTCTCAATCGCTGGGCACGCAGATGGGCTGTGCCAATTTGCATACGGCAACAAGTGGAGCAGAGGGGCTGGGAACGTCCCTCACTCTCACAGTGACGCAGTTCCTGGAAATCTGAGTGATTTTGAGAAAAGCTGGTGACGGCGTGCAGCCAACGTGGCATGGAGAGCAGCTTGGGGGCAGCACCGTGCTTCCTGCTGTGCAGCAGCTCCTGTTGATGTGACCTGCAGCACCTGTTGGCCAAAAGAGGATCTGAAAGCTCTGGGGAGCAAATCGCCTTCGTGGGGCAGTGAATCACTGAACTGTGGAATCACTGTGGGTGGAGAAGACCTCTAAGGTCCCCAAGTCCAACCCCAGCCCACCCCACCATGCCCACGTCCCTCAGTGCCACATCCCCACGGTTCTGGAACACCTCCAGGTTTGGTGACCCCACCACCTCCCTGGGCAGCTGTGCCACTGCAGCTCTGCTCTTTATGAGAAGAAATGTTTCCTAATGTCCAACCTGAAATTCTCTAATTCCAGACAAAATAAAAGTATTCAACATATCGATCTCACTCTTTTTGTACTTCATACAGCAAATGTAGTCTCATGCATGCTTGGGTGTTTCCACTCCTGTGGAAGAATTACGTGTGTGGAAAAGTGGTGCATGACCTTTAGGCAACATTTGTGATGCATAACCATACAGCAAAGAGAAAGGAGAACATGTGAGCTGTCTGTACGCTGCTGTTGTTTGCTAACCACGAGCATGATTTGGGAAAACCAGAAAGCAGCGATGGGACGTACAGCTTGGTGTCCTAGAAAGCAGATTATTGACTGAGAAAGCAAGAAAGACATCTGGTGCACGCAGACACACTGCGGAAGCGGAAGGGAAGAGCTGAGGAGTCCCCCCAGCACGGGCGGTCGTAATGTGAACCGCAGGTGCCGGGCTGGGCCCCATAGGAGGAAGCGGTGGGCGGACGCGTGGGCAGGGGACGGGGATGGAGGAGGCACGGACAGATAATGGATGAGCTCAGGAGCTGTTCCCGAGGCGGAATGGGAAAGCAATAAATCACTCCTACAGCCTTCCTCCTCCTCCAAAGGCTGAAGGAAGGAACAGGGTAGGTCGTAAATACTGAGCCGAGGCTGCTCTGAGGTTGTGGAAGTGAACCCAACGCAGGGCGCACAGCAATGTGTGCACAGGAAGCTCTGGCGTTTGTTGCAGAAGAACCGTGAACAGGCTTTTAAGTTCCTCTCTGATGCTGTTGGGTTACGGGAAGAAGAGTGCAACGTTAAGCATCCTGAAACACTTCTGTACACGGGATGCAGAAGATGGATTTCCATTGATAAAAACAGCCATGGAAAGCCCTGACCCAGCTCCTGAAATGTCTGAGAGCTGACTCGTATGTACTGGCCCCAGTTATCAAGACTTGCATGCGGCAGCTCTGAGGTTGAACCTGAAAAACCCTAAAAATCTCATGAAAAAAACAGCTCTAGGCTTTGCATCAGAACAAGAGGTGTGGGAAGAAGGGACGGTAACATCTCTCACTGAATGGAAAAGGGCCTCCGGAGGTGTCCGCTCCAAACCGCCGTACCCATCAACGCTTCTGCTTCCAGGGGAGCTGGGGTGGATGACCCCAGAAGGACCCACGTTTGTTTGTATGATTCTGTGATCCTACCGAGAAACTGAGAACATTCGCTTTGCAAGGAATTTACGTCGACTTTAATGTGCTTTATCGTCTCACATATCCCCGTGAATAGATTAAAATAAAAGAGATCTCGTGTACCTATAAAAAGCTAACATTTCCTTAGAGAAGCGATTTAGACAAGTAAACAACTCATCATGCCCCAAATAGCTAACTGCAGAAAACGCTGCAGAAATGGATCAGAAATGAAAAGAACGTAAATGCATGGCCTACAACACTCATTTTTTGTTCAGTATCTTCGCTGTAGGAAATTAAGGAAATCAGACAATGTCAAACGGCATCCGAGCAAAAGCAGGAATCTTCATTAGAAAGGGAAATGGGAACAGGCTTTTCATCTGCATATCATGCATGTTCGCTTTCTAACTTGCATTTTCTATAAAAGAGGGGAAATTTAGGATAGATGTTATAGGGAAATTCTTTACGCAGAGGGAGATGAGGCCCTGGCACTGCCCAGAGCTGTGGGTGCCCCATTCCTGGAGGTGCCTGAGGCAGTGGATGAGCCCTGAGCAGCCTGAGCTGCTGAGGAGCACCCAGCCCACAGCAGGGGTGGGGCTGGGGGAGCTGTAAGGTCCCTTCCAACCCAACCATTCCATGGCTCTATGATCTTTAAGTCC